CGAAGCAGCCCGGCTCCCTACCTTGAGAACAGGTGCCATGAAGACGGAGACCCCCGTCAGGATGAAGACGGCCAGGCCTGTCAGCCTCTGCTCCCTGCAGGCGGCAGTGCAGGTGTCACAGGTGCCCCGGGGTTGCTCGGGAGCCCGCAGCCCCTGCCTGCCCTCCTGGCCCTCAGGTTCTCTGCCCTTTTCAGCTTTGATGGCCATGGGGACCAGTGGCATGCCAGGGGAGACACGAGCAGCCCCAAAGCCAGGTCTGCCAGCCAGCATGGGCACTTCCCTGTCCCCTGGGTCTGCAGCCATGGGCACGGGGTCCCGCAGAGTGGGGTCCAGGCTCATTGCATACCTGATGCCCAGGAACTCAGGGTGCTCGCCGGGGGCCGAGCTTGTGCTCTCCTTCCTCAGGCTCTCCATGTGTGCCAGGGAGATGACGGTGGCCGAGACGTACCAGGGGAGGCCGGTGGCGGAGGTGACAACCATCAGGAGGGAGACACAGAGGAGGTCCAGGTGAAAGCCTGCTCCCTTCTGCAATGGGAGAGGCAGCGGGGCTGGAGGTGAGCTGTCTCCCTGACAGCATCAGAGGGGGAGCAGTGGCATCTGCCCACCTTGCCAGCCAGTTCGGGGTGCCGCTCTCCCCCGGCTGCCACCCTGGCCCACGGGGTCCAGCTGGGACCTGGGTACTCACAGTTGGCTGGGTCTTGACCACCCCCTGTCCCCTGCTCACCTGCAGCTTGTACTCCCTGCGGTTAAGGATGACGGCCGTGATCTGCTGGTCCATGAAAATGAGGATGGTGACAAGGACAGCAGGCACTGCAGACACCAGGCAGACCCACCATGGGTTGGCTCCAAAGGGGAAGATGATCCAGCCCCGTGCTGGGTTTGTGGGCTGCAGAGAGCAGAAGGGTCTCAGCAGCTGCCCCCCACCTGTGGGGTCTGTGGCACAACCGGGTGATGGGACCAGCCCCGGGTACCCAGGCTGGAGCCCTGCAGGCACACAGGGATGCTCCACCTGGAGAGAGGAAGAGCACCCTCTCTCATCCTGTGTGTCTTCCTAGGCAGCGTGACCCACCCGCCCCCCAGGGGGACACCCCAGCTGTGGCAGGGCAGGGGGTTGCCCCTGGGCACTGCAAGCCAGGAGCCAGGCACGTGCTCCCAGGAGTGAGTGGAAGAGGTGGCATTGGGCTTTTATGATGGCAAGCCCAAGGAGGCGGCGGCAAGCACGGGCTGATCTGAGGTGCTGCCAGCCCCACTCTACACCCAGGGCGGGGAGCTCAAGCCCGGACTTGAGCCTGTGGCTCTCACTCCAGCGTGAGCTGTACCGTGATGTGGTTAGTCTGGGAGTGAGCCAGATTATTTGCAGAGCGTGGGATCAGCTGTGGTTCAACCCCTTCTCGTTTGCTGGGATGCATTCCGCAACCCTATAGGGCTGGACCCAGTGCTGGCAAGGATGGCAGCAGCACAGCGGGATGGCCACTGTGGAGGGCACAGACCCACGCCCTGACAGCGCTGTGTCCACCCTGCTGGCACCTTCAGCTCGCTGGGGACGAGGAGCTTGGGTGTCTCCAGGCCCAGGGAGGCATCCACAGCGCAGGAGGTGAGGATGGCCAGGATGATGGCGAAGTCGCTCACCAGCTTCCGCACCTGCAGATGGAGAGTGCTTGGCCTGGGCTGGCTGAGGCCGGGGGCTGTCCCAGGAGCACCCCTGGGTCGCAGCACCCGGAGCCATCCCCATGCCATGCCACTGGGGTGGCCAAAGGATGCTCACCCCCGCAGGGAAGTAGTGGCTATTCCTGAAGCGCTTGAGCACAATGCAGGAGAGGAAGGTGCCCCCGAAGAGCAGAAAGGAGATGAGGGTGACATCGGGCACATACTGGCAGCTGGTCCCCAGGAGGTGCCCGCCTTGACCCAAGCACTGGGTCCTGCTCAGCCCAGCTGGGGCGGCGGGAGGCTGTGGGGACAGGGCAGGCAGCGAGGAGGGGTCATGCATGGACACCTTGGGCCCACCCCAGTCCCTTGCCTGCC